ACGCCGCGATGTGCGTAGTCTGTGAGTCTGTGATCGCGGAAGAAGTTGGTCGCAACAAGAGCCTGGGCACAGGCGTCTCAAGGTGAGCGGCTATGTCAGCGTGAACAAATTTGGTCCCACCGCCCAGGGGGGACGATATGCAAGAAACGCTCGTGGTCGGACATGACTCAAACTCAAACTGCATCTGCGAAGGCATCCGGCAACACCGGGGTGTGACGCCAACTAGCCGCATCTTAAAGCAATTCGGCTAGTCGGCTAGTGTAGTGACGGTTAGAGGAGTGTGGTCTCTCTCGGGATAATCTGAACAGTATCGCCCTTGGCGACCGTGACTGTGCTGGAGGTGTCGACCGGCCACGGAAGGTCTCCAACAAAAACGAGAGGTCCTGGTGCACCGGGGACCTGGGCCAACCGCAAACTGTCCGAAACCAAGACGCGGGAAGGGATGTCCAACGCGAAGATACGGCCATTGAAGAGCCGGCTGTCAATGACGACACAGGCGTTAGCCATCGGCCAGGTCCAGGTGGGCGTGGCTATCAAGACAGCAAGGCCAACTACTGTTTGGAACCTGGCCAGAAGCTCAGGTGGATATGCCGGTACAAGGATCAGAAAAGACCCACAGCTGCCGCAGGCGAATGGTCCGCACGTGGAGCCGTGCTCTGGATGCATACTTTCAGAGCCTCCCTGATCCGCATGCGGTGCACCCTGACGATCGACCGGCGCAGCATGATCAGCCCCCCTGCAACGGGAGCGTCTGATCCCGGCGCATCAACGGGCCCAGCTGTCTGCGCGGGAGAGAAAGAAGCAGCCGGCGGGTGCACTGGCACGCAGCTCGCCTAACAAGGCAGCAAAATACCTGTCCATGGAAAGCAACGACTACACTGACTGCACGCCACCCTGCAGCTAGCGCCCGCGAATCCAGAAGCACTCCGCGGCAGGTGAGGGTCGCGCTCCAAGCCTAACCTGAGAACCGACCTGTTGGGCAGACGCGGATGTTCGGCAAAGATGCGGAAACCAGGAACATTCCCAAGTAGGGACTGGCCAGCAACACGGGTGCTGTAGAGGGGGGTACCAACCAATCTGACCGCAAGATCCTGTCCCGTTTGGCGGGCATCAAGGAAGACGAAGCATCCATGAGAAATCCCCGCAGGTACATTCTCCGACCTCGGCCTGGCTGCCAAGACCTTTCCGGTTGCAAAACCCTCAAACACAACATCGTCAAGTCATCCTCAGGCGAAGGCACGCAGAAGTGAACATGTTCAACACGGCGATGCGTCTGTGTGCCACTGTCAGCTTGAGCTCGTCATTGAAGCTGAAGCTCCCTGTAAATGGCACGAGCCTAACGGAATCGTCCCGGACAACTAACCATTGTTCGGTAGGGCTCTCAACACATATATTATACGGGGTTCTTTCAACCATTCCCGCGGTTGTGGGAGGAGCTGCGCCAAGGTAGGTTCCCAAAACGTGGTGTCCAACAGGAACAACTTAAGCCGAAAGAGCGCCCCCATCTCGACCGTCGAATCGGTGTAATGCTGTTGCACTGGATAGGGGTGTGGGAACCTGCGACAAACACATCCCAAGGAGCAGCTGTGCGGCGGTGGGCTCACCCTCCTTGGGCTGGTGCTATGTTGGATCGTTGTGGTTCGTTGTGCAGATGTGCAAGCCACGCAGCTGGCGGTTGTCGGCCTGTCGCACTTAGGCCACTACCCACGCCGTGCAATCACTGCCAATTAGCCCTGTCGCTGCGCCTGACCTGGCTCTCGCCAGCAGCGACGAATTTGCTGGGGTGACCTTGAAACTCTCTTGCAGCCTCCGTCAGAGCGACTGTAAGTAAGGCCTTCTTCCTCGCTTCGACGTTATTGGAGACGCTCGTGGACCACTTCGAAACACCCCGGCCGCAGAGACTGTCCCGCACACTGCCATCCACTTTGATCCGGAGAACCCTGCTCTGAGTGCTGCACCGCGTCAACTCTCCCTTTGCAACCTGTTACCCGAGTCGACCCTAACTCCCCCCGCTTGAGATTCGGGTTGTGCGGTTGAGTGGTTCCCGCTTGATGTTGGACAATGTGAGCTGCCGCTCGCTGCCGATCTGTGGGCTGACCTACTTTGTTCCGGCCCAGTCGCCACTCCCTCCCACGTCCTGAACGCTTCGCCCTTTTGGTGTCAGGATGGATGTCTGGGATTGTTCCCGTCCGATCAGCTCTTACCGGGTCCTGCTCAGGTTTGCCTGGGGTTTACATCGGGCATGGTGCCGGTCTCACTGAAGACGTTTGGTCTCTACGGAGGTGAGGGTGCCGGCCCGGTCAATGTATTCGCCTCTGAACTTGTGGGCCTCATGTGGGGAGCCATTGCGGCTCGCACATATGACAATGAAGCCGTTTTGGGCAACGCTGTTGGCACCTACGTTGCACCCCGTCATGCGGTTCAGGCCTGTCAGAGCATACATCAAGGATTCTCGCTGGGCCTCGCGGCAATGGTGTCGCGTACACACGTACCCGGTCATGCCGGAGAGGCTTCCAATAAGCTTGCAGATGGAGCTGCGTCTGCTGGTGCCATGGTGGCCCTGTCTCCAGTCTTTTCCTTGTCCTTCGATCAATGGTTCCAAGACGACGGCGCGGCCTTCTCTTGGCTTTCCCATGTGTGTTAGTCCTTTGTCTTTTCCCGCCGAGTCAGGCCAAGACACTCGGGTTGCTAAGCTCGAGCTAGCTTTCGCCACATTCAACACCCTTTCGCTTGCCTGCCCTATGAGCACGGATGCCGGCCGTAGATCCGGTTTGTACGGGGCAACTGGGCGGACAGCACTGTTGGATGCCTCTCTTCATGAGTGCGGCGTTTTCAGCGCCCGCGCACAAGAAGCCAGAACGACGGAAGGGGGAGTCCGCAGCGATCACGATGCATAGACATTTGGATAGTAGGCCTTCCCATGAGGCGGTTGTTCTACAGTGTGGGCCTACCTGCCAACTTCTTCGGGTGTCTTTGCAGGGCATGGACCTCACAAGGGACACAGCCGGGGCACCCGTCTCGCTTGGCGGAAGGAGACCAGGGACCTGGGTTGGGCCTTCAATTCAGCTTAGGAAAGGGAGCTCTGGGTAGACGGGAACAGCGCTGGGGGGTCAGCGACTTCCACGCATGCAAGCTGAGGATTCAGATGATGATGTTTCAGGGGTTGCTCCATAGCTGCTCTGCAAATCTCGCTAGTACTTCCCAGTATACCTTCCAGGGGCCAGGAGGCTGGCGCGACGTGATTACGTCCACTCCCGTCCTGGCGAGGTCTGGTGACCTGACAGGTCGTCTCTGCTATTCGTGCCGGTCACGCTGTCCCGGATCACTATGCGGTCGTCATTCGGGTAACTCTTCCAGTTAGGCAGGCTGCCAAGTCCCGGGTTCAAGGCCGCATTGATGAACAACTCCTGCCAGACAATGCCCCGTTGATTACCCGTATTCTTCCCACATCCCATCTCCTCCGTAATGTGAACGACCATACAGCACTGTTAGCTGAGGCTCTGTACTCCACCCTGGCACAACACCTCCCTTTGCGGCCGAGCAGGATGAGGCAGGGATTTGTCTCAGAGGAGGCCAGCGATGCCAGCGATGCTCACGCGCATCTCTCGCACCAGCGTCACGCGTTGCGCTGGCGGATCTGTGCTGTGCCTTTCTCGCCTGCCTGGAGGCGTGAACGGTGCTTTTTCGAGATTTTCTGTGGGGAGTGGATTTGGCACCTACGGCTTTCAATTGTGGTTCCCTGACTCTGGACATTAGGCGCGCTGGGCGTGACGTTCGCAGACTGTATCGCAGGGACCGGGCCAATCACCTTGTGCAGCTGACGGTTGAATTTGATGAGGCTGACCCGAGACACGTGCACTCTTAACGGACCCCACCTTTACCCAGGCTTCGTAAGCTTGATGGTAGTCTGTGCCAAACGCCTGACGAGGTCACCGAGGAATGGCGCCGACACTTCTCGGACCTTGAAGGTGGCCAGCTGTCGGAGCCATCCGAGTTTGTCACTGCCGTGTTTGTGATCGGCAGGACACCACTGTGGCACTATGGGGACCCGAGCAGCTCAATGAGTCAGAGCTGCCGACCTTTGGCGCCGTTGTTGCTGCCTTCCAACGCGTTAGAAGCCCTCGGGGCCTGACCTCCTCCCTTATTCAATCTGCCGCCCTTTTGCCTTCTGCCTTTCTGAGCTGTTCTGGCCTGTTGGTGCTGCTTGCGCCAGATCCAGCACGAAATCCCTAAAACTGGCCCTAAACCCAATCCACCAGTACGGAATGTGGCTGCCAGCCAACGGGGGATTTTGGTTCAGTCGGTCTTAAGTAAGGTTTTGCACCGCGCATGCCGACATCTCCCTAATAAGCGAATGGCCGCTCGTGCTCCCAGCTTGCAAATTGGTGGACGGCCCGGGCAGACTTACATGTTTGGCTCCTATGTCTCGCAATGTTTTTTTGGACATGCACGTAATGCCAGCATTTCTGCGGCTCTTGTATTCACCGATCTTGTTGCAGCATACTATGCGGCGGTTCGGGAGGCGGTGCTTGGTGTTCGTCCGGAGGGGGACCCAGCGCAGCAGGCTGCGTCCTCGCTTTGTTATGCCGGAGGATGTGCAAGCGCTGTCCTACTATGCGAGTGAGGAGGCGGCACTACAGGGGCCCGGCGCTTATGATTGCGTGTGTGCTTTGCCACAACAAATACATGTCGACACGTGGTTCTTAACCACGGCCAGGGGAGCGTCACTCGCGATCGGCCCCCCGCGCGGATTCGCGCACCGGGAAATCAGAAACAGTTGTTTGCCCCCCAAGGTTTGACTCACCGGCCGTCCCACCCCAAGCCCCGGTAACACTAATACCCCCAACCCGCCTCGAAGGCTCAGCTTCATGCACCCCTATTGCCGGTGACTGGTCTCCCCTTGAGTCTCTCTTCTTCAGCACAGGCAGAGAGGCAACACGTACGGTCCGTGCTGCCCCTCGCGCGTTTCCCCTTGAGTCTCTCTCTCTCTCTCTCTGAGCCTTGCGGTATGTCATGGCCTTGATGGTGTCACCCTTCCTTAGCAATTCGACGAAAGGCGTCAGCAACGAAAAAGCCGAGACGCTTCTCTAAGAAGCAGGCATGCTCAGGTTGAAAAGATGCCAAAGGTCTTCTGATTCCTCCGATCAAATTTGCTGCAAGTGAAACTTCAATTGGCTCAGCCGTTTCTGCGGCGTCCCGACCTCTGCAATGAGAGTTGCGAGTCCTTTGCCATCCTGGCAACTAAGAGAAGTCTCTCTGGCCACTACAGGGCCTCGGGAGCCTTCCAGGGCTGCCGTCTGCATCGCTGCAACAACTTTGGGATGTGCAGACTCCAGGCTGCCAGACGCGCCCGCACGCTTTTCTTACCAGCTGTTTCTGCTGCGTCCGTACAGCGCAGAATGTCGGAGCACTCCGACTTGGCGCTGGCTCGAGGTACTGGGTCGTGCAGTGCGGAGAAACCGCTTTTCCACTGCAACCTGCCCTGCTTCCTGCCTGACCGCTGAGTCCACGAGTTCACATTCGACTTGGGAACACCTCATTGATCCGCTCGTCTGAAGGCTCGTCGAAACTGCGTCCAACCTGATTCCGGAAGAAAAGGCACAGTTGTTTGCCAAACGAATCACGGCCACGACCCTGCAAGCAACGGAAATTTGAATTGAAGCCAATGTCAATCTTGAATCTCAGACTTGCCCTGAAGGGATTGCCTCAGTTGCAATTGTGCTTGGGAGCTTCCGGCGCGCCTCGGCATGCCATCTGGGTACACTAGGCTGCCTCTTGGGCACCAACTCCCTCGTGCCGCTGAAATCCGCTGAGCGCAGGTCTTTGGGTTGAGTGATTCAGGATCGGACAGGGGAGGAGCGTATTCATGAGCACGACAACCACAATAATGACGATGACCCCGATCACAAGAAAGAGTCGGAGATCAGTCGGGGGTCTTTCGTCACTGAGTCACTGTGCCACTTGAAAGGCCAATGAGTGCTCGACAGAATATCAAACGTATGTTGCAGCAACCAAGTCCATCAACAGGCATCCATAAGCCCACGACAAGGATCCAAGGTGAGCTGCCATCCTGCCAGAAAGACAAAGGGAATCGTGACTTGTGGCAGCTGCCGGCGTTGGTCCTGCCTGCAGGGCTCTGTACACTAATCCTTCTCCCTCTCTTCCACAGAGTCGAAGGTGAAAGGCTGCGTTGAAACCGTCGGAAACCTCCTGTTTACGTCAGTCGGCTTGGGAACGTTGCATACAGTTCGGCCAGGCAAGGACCCCATTGCGACTAGAAGCAATTTTCCTCCCGCAGCGGATCTCGCCGAACCCCACGAAGACGGGCGTTGAGAAGAATGAAGCCCGTCTTGCTGTCAACCTCCCGGCAGGACATGTCAGGTGTCCAAAGGCCCCGGAAGTCAACAGGAGGTCAGCTGTGGTATCAGCCACCATTCAGGAGGGCTCAGCCAGAAGATGTCCAATCGGAAGGAACATCTGGTGGCCAACATTGGACTCGAAGCGAGCACTGTTGGGCAGTACGAATAAATGTAAGAACTCCAACCGTTTCTTGTGCTTGTGACAGAAACCCGGAAAGCTCTGACAGCGACTCGTGGCACCTCCTCTGCAGCCCGCGCCACTGCTGCCTGAGCAAAGGAGTTTCTGACTCCGATCTGCCTACTTCCATGCGCCGGACTCAACCGCACCGGGTTCTGGACTAGCTGCGGTCTTCGCGGGGCCACAACGACCACAAAGCCACCACGCATGTCCTCCAGGAGCACAAAGCCACGGATAAGTGATGCAGACTTCGGGAGCTATATTGAGAATATCTCTGTCTGTCTATCTCTGTCTCTGATTATCTCTGTCTCTGTTTCTGTCTCTGTCTGTCTGTCTGTCTGTCTGTCTCTGTCTGCCTCTGTGTGTCTCTGTCTGTCTGTCTGTGTCTCTGTTTCTGTTTGCTTGCATTCGGTCAAGGGCAATGCGGACGCATCACGTCGGGGCGCGCTCTGTCTCTGTCTCTGTCTGTCTCTGTCTGTCTGTCATTCTCTGTCTGTCTGTCTGCCTGCCTGCCTGTCTGTCTGTTGGTCTGTCTCTGTCTACGTATGCAACCGTAAGTATGCATGTGCGCATACGTATAGATGGAGACATCAGGCAGCATATGTACATACACATATACATATATTGTCAGATATATAGATATCTACCGTACATGTCACATGCATGTCTACAAAAGGAAGCAACGATATGGCCAAAAACGGATGTGCGCTGAATCATACCTACTACCACAAGTACATGCATACATGCTCTCGGGTCACGGGCCCCCACCCCCCCCCCCCCCCAATGGTATCCCCCCACCCCTTCTGCTGGCCTGCTGCTGCACGCCCACCCGCCCTGCGCCCCGGCCCGCCCCCGGCCCGCACCTTGCCCGCCCCTGGGCCTTGTGCGCGGATCGGGAGTGTCGCACTATGCCCTGCCGTAGCATCATATTGTATAATTTTTAAGTAGGCCCAGGTTACGAATCAGAAACTTACGAATGGCCTTCAGGGACTGGATGAAAGCACTCGTCATCTCTCCTGCATGGGAGCCGGTCAGCTAAATATGTCGATATGAAGCACTCGCAAAGGTGTCCTTCATCAGAACTTGAGAAGGCGGTCTTCTGCGTGCCACCTCCGACACATAGCAGTGGCCGTCTAATGCCGCAAAGCGTTCGGGAACACACACGAAAGCACCCTGAGCTTTGCACTTCGTGGCATGGAGACAACTCGAGCTCTGCCTCAGAAGCCGTGAGATGACGTGCGACGCATTTCTGCATATTCCTGCCTTCTTTTCTTTCGCTTCTCGTGTCCGGCACGGGATTTGGGAAGGACCAGAAAGTCGCCAAACGATAATTTTCTGCTTGCAAATCATAGAATGCTGGATGCCAATACCTGATCTTTTTGTGGACCCGACTATCTGAGTATCTGAACCGCTTCCTGCAACAGCACTCGTGGACATGTCAAGGCCCAACTTGACCCACGAGATCTGGCTAGCGTCTCGCGAGCTTCAAAAGTCGAGTTGTGGATATTAACGGCTGACTCCAGTACAGGGCGTTCGGCTGTGACAGAATGATTTCAAGGGTATTTCGATACAAATCGGCACACGACTTGTGGCGAGCTGCCGACAGCATCCCCCCAGAGTTTCTTTGCAGCTGCAGCTTGCTTGCTGGTGCGGAAGACGATGCTCAGGCTGTCTTTGACCACCTTCGCCGCATAGGTGTCAGATTGGCAACACTGAAGTTGGACGGGGCGTTCCTTGAACATGGCCAGGAAGACTCGGGCAAGTTCGCGGTCTGCCTCGTCAAACGAATCAGGCAGCTCAGGGCGTGCTAAAGAGTTAGTGGGAGATCAAGAAGGGAGAGGGAAAAAGAGAGAATGCTCTGCCAAAACGAGAATCAGCCGTTCCTGTAGAACCTGCGCTTTCGATGGCTCTGCCGCAGGCTGAATCAGGGGGTCCTGCACGAATAGGCAGACGGTGCAAAATCTCAAGCGGACTCTAGCTGAGCTGCCTGACTGCCCCTGCATCAGGTCCTACCTACAGTTTGGCATGCACACTTCGCGAAGGGTCCATGACATTCTCCATGCCAAGCCGGAGGCCCGCCTGCCAAGAAGCTCGAGCTCTCACCCTCGCTGCCATGCAACCGCAAAGACCAGATTTACTCGGGATCCTGCCGACTGGAAAGATGCCAGTACGACGGCATTCCATGAGCTGCAAACCGAGTGGAGAACTTGCTGCTCTGCAGTCCAGGCTCTGGCAAGTCCACATCAGCCCGGGGTAGACCGGATTTCACCAGAATGCCCATGCCTCATTTCGCGACAATTCGTTGCCCATGGTTCCTTCTTGCTTGTCCTGTGCACCATACACTCACCCTGGGCTCGCTGCTGGCCTTCAGCTGGTCTAAAACCTGCAAGTCGCCAAGTCTGAGGTTCAAGACTGACATGTTTTCGGATCTGGAACTCTTGACGGTTGTATTTCGAGTTGACCCACAAGTATTTCAGCGTCGCACCTCTCTCGTGCTGTTGGGAATCACAACCTTCTGCGTGTTCCCGAACAAGCCGTCCCAGGGAGCGCCTAGGACGAACGAAGAACGAATCCGGTAGAGCGTCCCCTAGAGCCGCGTCGCCGCGTGTCGCATGCGCCTAGCACTCTCAAGCTTGCACTCGGCTTCGTGCCGACTCGCCGGGCCAGTCCGTGCCTTCTGACAGAGACAGAGATCAACCTAGGGAAGAGATGTTCACCAATCCAAACTAAAGTATCAGCCACAGGTCTCTGGCGGCAAATGCCAGCGGCATGACGCGTCTGAGTACCGGAATCGAGCAGGACTAAGCATGCTTCCGGCTTGTTGGTCTGTGTTGAGTCTGATCCATCGTCATCTTTACCAGACTCTACCACATTCTACAGTGACCAGGGCTATGTTCCGAAGCCTGGTATCTTGGCATGCCCCTTTAAACTCGGAACAGTGAAAGTTCATCAACTTGCTCGATCTTGCAGCACGGGCCCACCTTCTCCAGCAGAGTGAGCCCGCTCGAACAGCCAAGCAAAGCGCAAAGACCTGAGCCGCAAGTCCTCACTCGATCCTCCCGCTTTCTTCGAACTCCCAAATCTCGAAACTCAAAGCTGACCGGGCTCCAGGCATTGCCTGGGTCCAGGTCGCGCTTCGCGGGCTTCGACACGCGGACGGGACGAGGGCAAAGACGAGACCGAGAAGGGCCTGCAGAGCAGCTTCCAAATTGACACCCGAGAGCCAAAAGAACTAATGCGCCTACACAGGTGCCGGTGCAACGAGCAGATGGCCACAGGTCCATGGCGACTAGATGGACAGGGAGCGCATCATTGAAAGACTGAAAGTTAGTGCTGCGTGCCAGCCGCAACGCTCCTGGTTGATGCTGACTTACGTGTGGCAGACTGCAGTTTCCGTCGCTTGTGTATGGCTCGGTCGATACTATGGACTCACCAGACCTGGTGCTCATCCGAAAGCTGGACCGAACCAGCTAAAATGCTTGACTCTTCGGAGATAGCACAGCGCGACACGGCTGAATTTCAGTCTGAGCCATTCTGAGCCTTCTCGAACTCTTTGTGCAGCAACTTCATGCCCACGCGGCTGGGCAGCCATGCAGGCTGCAATGACCAATCGACAGAGTCAAAGAACTTCTGTCTATGCCTTCGAATTGCTTTTGGCGGCCAGTGGCTGTGGGGAACACTAATTCTTGTCGGTTTAGTTTCTCAAGTTGGGAGAGGGTCGTCCCTGTGTGAAGATGTGCAAAGCGCAGCTAGACTTTCTATCGCATGTTGACATGAGGGAAGACGTCAGAGCCTTGCCACAGTTTTCCGAGAGGGGCAGAAGCACGAACAACATGGAATGGAGCAGTTCCGGCTTCAACCGTTGCGATGGATGCAAACTACCAGTTTCATCGTCGCTCACGGCCGTCTCGCCAGCATCAGCGAAGCAGTCGGCAGCCTGTTCTGCCAATTGTCTGAGCAGCTGCTTCTGACCTTGGCGGATTTAGCTCTGCCGGCCGTTAAGCTTCCATGCATCTGAGTAGCTCACTTTGCTTGGCCAGTCCGACCGTGTTCTGGCTCCGATACTTATCATGCGCTGTGCAGTGGTGGCTGGAAGTCCCTTGATGCAGTCTCCAGCATCTTCCAGCACCGGTAGGGAACACTGTGCCAGAAACCAACGTGAATTGCTTTGCCGATTTGCATGGCATCGCAGTAGTAGAAGCTCGAAGAACTTTCTGTCGCTGCTTGTCAGATGTGCTTTGAGCACACGGTCGGTGAGAACTCATTGGCAAAGCCTGCGAGCAAAGCCAAGTCACTGTTCGACCCTCAACAGGCCAACACACCGGAAAGCAGCTTTAATTCATGCTGAAGCTACAGGTACGAGGAGGAGCCTTGGTCCACCCGGGAACCAGGTCACACCTCAAGGATTCTACAATTCTCACTAAGCCGGGCTGTGCGATCGCCTTCCACCGCCTTCACAGATCGGGGCTCTCCTAAGTAGTGGAACTCCCGAGCCCGTCCTTGCCAACGATCCAGGCCTCGGCCTCCGGACCATCTGCCCCTGGGGCCCGCGGTGCTGAGATAAACTGCTCTGCAGCCAGTCTTCCTGGCAATGCCACAAGCAGCCCACTGCCCACCGGAGGTCTCGGCAGAAAAGCCCTCCGTGAGCTGGTAGTTGGCGTCGATTGCACTGTCAAGAACCGCCAAGCCTTCGATGATTGGTAGCAGGTGGATTCCAACGATACAGACGCCTTCTGCACGGCCGCTAATAGTCCGAAGCCAGTGGCGTCAGTGGCCCCGTGTGCACCTTACCTGGACATCAACAGGGCAGCCATGCGGCTCAAGCGCATCATTCCAGCCTCGGCTTTCTTCACAGCACGAACTGCTGTGTCAATATCAATCAGGGCATTGGCCTTCTGCTGTTTGTTCGGATCTCCCAGCCAGAGTGCAAGATTTGCTGCGATCTGACAGCCGAGGGGTTTGGTCAGAACAAGCATCATCCAGCTGCAAACCATCAACTCTAACGAGGTCCTTCCCTGTTAAAGTCGTAGTGGCACATCCGCCAATGATGGGCCAAGGATGGAATAGTGCCTGTCCTCCTGTCACTCTGGTTCCAGCTTCTTTGCATGCGTCGTTGAAACCTTGAATCATCCTCCGAATCACCACATCCCGGTACCTGTCCTCCATTCTGGTTAAAAGATCATAAGAATAGTGTCGACGCGATGGGCTCCAATTGCATGTACATCCGAGAGAGTGTTTGCAGATAAGAATAGTGTCGATGCGATGGGCTCCAATTGCATATAGATCCGAGAGAGTGTTTGCACATGCAATGCGGCCCTGATTGTATCGATCCAGGGAGATTGGGGAAAAACAGTCGGTGGTGCTTGCCAAATAGATGCACTCGCCAGCAGCTCCAATTGGGACAAGGGAGACATCTGGAGAGTCCTCTTTCAGCATGCATCCATCGCCAATGTTGGTCAGCAGCTCTGTCAGCTTGTTTTGCTTAACTTTGCAACCTCAGCCCTTCCTCTCCGCAAAGCTGGTCAAAACAAAATCTCTCGGCAGCCCAAGTGATTCGGGATCGAACAGCTGTCGACGAAACTTTTCACACATTGCAAGTCACTCTGCAGGGCTTGGCAAACAGCATCAAACAGCTGCACACATGGAGACGCCGCGGGGCCTGTAAGCCTTTGCTTGAATTCCCGTTTTGTTCCAGCGTCCGCTCATGTCCGCTCGCGCTGTGGTCGAAGAACGGTCTCCACTCGAAGGAGACTGCTTTGCCAATTTCACAACAATGGGGTTCATGGCAAACCACCTGAGCGCCGTGCCGATCCGCAGGCGAAGGATGTTTCGGGCATTGTCAGGTCGTACGCCGTCGGGGAGTCCTGGAAGGACCTCAGCCATAGCGGAGCTTTTCGTCTCGCCGCCTCGCCTGTGCTGTGTCATGCTGTGCCTGTGATCGACACACCCGCTTTGCGGAAGGCTCCTGGGTCTCCTGGCATGGGGTCGCATGGGCCTTCTGCAACAGCCCAGCAGAGGCTCAGACTCAGACATCCGTTGCACTGCTTTTGGCTCCCAGCGCGGCGAGTCGTGTTTGAGGGCACCACGGGGTAGCAGGGTGCTTTTTCAGACTCGCCCTGGCCACCGCCGCAGTCACTGCAGTCCTGGTTCTGGCCCTTCAGCTGTTGCCCAGCTTGCAACCTTTAATTCCACATTTGCTGCATTCTGAGACAGCACCTTCTGGCAGGTCGAGACATTTGCTGTCGTCGCCTGGCAGCTTAGCCGCAGCCTGGGAGGTGAGTCACAAGGCCAATCCTCCTGCACGGAAACAAAGCTGGTAAATCCGACAAAACCCACCCAAATCGTGAGTCTCGCGCTCTTGGTAGACAAGGCCGCAAAACGTTTTCAGCTTTGACATATCATCCACGTATGACAGACTGCTAGCCTGCTACTTGCTGAATGCAAAATACCTGCGGCACAATTCAATGAACTGCCAAGAAGCCATGGTGTAGCTAGTGAGCCTTTAAACACAGTCCAGGCTGGCCATGCAAGGCACGAGATTTGCATATACGTTTTTGCATTTAAATCTGTCACTCTTATGTCTAGCATCTTCGTCCTCGCCTTCAGAGCCGCAACTTCGCATAGCCAGCATGAACACATGGTAGCGTAGTGACCCTGTCGCAGCACTCGGGTGGCCTCCTGTGTGCGAGGACATCCTTGAGTGTGCGTTCTGGCAGTGGGCTGATGAGCAGCGACATGCCAGAATTTGAAAGAGCCACAAACATATCAAACATAAACTCCGCCTTGCTGTGCCTTTCGACAGATGGAAATGGAAGAAAGCCAGCTGCACTGCTTCAACTAAGCGAGGAATGCCTCATGCAAAGCGGGTAGTCCCAGGAAATGCATTCTTCAATTTGTCTCCTGCTCCCCTGAAGCTTCGCTCAAGTGAGCTACAGCAGGCAGCATCCCAAGGATCTGCCACGCACACCCGACATTACTTCCGAATGCGAGAAGGGATGACATGCTTTGATCCCACGCCGTACGTAATACACTCATTTCACTATACAAGCTATACAGGTGTCGGGGCGCTCCAAAGCACGTAGCCAGTGTTGCCAATGCACCCTGCCGATTGCCGAGCACTGCTGGCCGTCACCGCTTTCACCCGAGTCGTGGAATGGGGCGACTGGGCCCAAGGGGTTCAGAGCTCGGAAGACGGTTGACACGACGGTGCACTCGGTGCATCCTGCCGCCTCTTCTCTTCTTGACTAGGCGAGCAGGGTTTTACACTACTGACTTGCTTCTTGCATAAAACTCCGCTCACAGCTGCCCTGCTCAAACCGTCTTCGAGCGGTGCTTGCGAATCGTCGTAGCAAGAAGCTACAAGCTAGGCTCCCCACGAGCCTTGCATTGCTGCCATGTCTTTTGACGTTAGACAACTTGAACTGAAGAAGCATGCGACTCCGCATAACAGACATGATTTCACCGAAAAGGGTTCAGCAATTTGCAAGGGAACCAGGCCACACTAGAAAGTTTCGCACTAAAAGCTGATTTATGGTTGTCACTGAGTTGAAAAAGTGTTCGGGCAATGCCCGGTTCTGGTGGCTGAGCAACCTTCCATTGACTGTGCCAGACTAAGGTATTCGTTGGCATACAGCTGTGGCGAAGCCAGCCATCCGTCAGACCACCTAATATGTCATCTCATACATGAAGCAGCTACCAGGACTGAGCTTGCCTGCACGCATTGACAGCGAATCGTCTTTTGAAGTGCCGCAGTGCGGCTGGGAAACGCACACTGGAGATCGACCGACAGCTGAAGCTTCAGCAACTCAGCTGTCTGCCATGACTTTGCTCATCACGCAAGAAACAACTTCTGAATGTAAGTCCTTGGCAGCAGGGGCCGAGTCGAAAGAGTTCACGCAATTGAAATTCTTCCGTGCTGCCAGGAGACCCGCATCCTGTCAAAGAGTGCCAGCTCTGGCTCTGGAGCGGAGTCGACAGGTCCGTCAAGTCCATCGATTCGATGCAGAGGGGAAGTGCCCTCGGACCTGACGTCTTGATGCCTTTACCATGGAAGCCGGGCGGGAGCTGCCTTTTTAATGTTTTAAAGCGGGTGGCTTCTCCTCCATGTACATGACCACTGAAACCTGCAAGTCCTGCAGGGCGAAGTCTGCCAAAGGAATTGTGAAGACCTCGGAGGCAACGCGTCAGCAGCTTGTGATGCCTGCAGTTCACTAGATAATTCAATATAATTCACGAAGCCTTGAGGATCCTTGCGGCTTGTCGGCTTCCGGGGCCCGTGCCTGCCGCAGGACGCGTGCCGCCACGAGCTCCCCTGTCTTCCTTCGTAGCATCGCCGCGGCGGTGGCACCTGCGGACCAGCACCGACAGGCGCGGCTGGTGCGTTACAAACGCCACTTGCAGCGCAGAAGCAACAAACTGGGAGAGGGCTGCAAACCGTCTTGAACACCGCAAACACGGACAGCTGATAACAGCTGGACAGCAACCAACAAAGGAGCGACCGCTCTGTTGAGTGCCACATGTGCCACGGCTTTCAGGTTGGCACGGCCACACTTCTAGATTTTAAACTTTAGAACCTTTGACATGGCCGTTGATGTGTAGAACAGGTGAAGGCCCAACAAAACGCGTTCCCAGCACGGAGAAGTGGACTGGTCATGGTTTTAGTATAAAGATCTTCCCGGAACCGGGCCACGAGAATGGAGGCTGCACATGGCTGCACAGAGTCAGCAGACCTTGCATTTCGAGCCCAACATGCCTGTATCGGTGGCCATGTTTAGCTGGCTCTCGCACTGGAAGGCACATCGAATGTCAGGCGACAACAGCCGCATGAGCTCCTGCACCCACATGCCAAGTGACGACAGTCACATTTGCTAGAATCCCTGTGTGCAGCCCACTAGGCATTTGCATCGCCAGTCACCGGTGCTCGGATGTGCTCGGAATCCGCCGTGTAAGATATTGGGACCCGCGGCGGGAGGAAACCATCTACGTCACTAGTCGCTAGTCCTGGCAAAACACGACGACAAGTGAGACTATGGAAAGAAATTCAACAAGTCTCTCAAGTCAATCAATACCTTCGACAAACAGACTGCATACAGGGCAAGGTCTACAATTTTGGTTCCTCGAGCACAAGGCATGTTGCCTCCTCCTACTGCTGGGCCACCCTCCGGGCACCTGTGGCAAGCACACTCGGGGAACAGCCGACCGGTCCACTAGGACAGGGGGTATCCGAGAGAGGCCAGGGCAAGACTTGGCGCACGCAAAGCAATGCGGTTTTGTGAGCACAAATGTCGCGAAATGTGGCCTCAAGGCCTCCACCAGGTCCCTCCCGGGTGACAACATGGGGTTGTTCACAAGGGTGAAAGACTTGAACCAAAATTTTAATGTTCTCGCTCTCTCTCTCTCTCTCTCCCTCGCGCTCGCCCCCGCCCACATTTGGAGCGTGGAATGAAAACATAGTTGGCCCCCATTGATATGGTGGTTAGAATCTTCGCTCTTTATCGCACACAACGGCCATGGAAATAAAACTCAGTTGGTCGAATCTCCTGGCGTAAGCCCGGGACCCGCGGCCAGGTTTTCAATAATCGATCTTACGATTTATCCTTCCGGTGCCGCATAGCATCGTCTTCTGATGTCTTCTGCTGACTTACTTGCCTTCGACCTCTGTCAACCTGTCATGGCCGAGATTCGCTGAGTAGGCTGCACTTGATGCTTCAGATACGTGGAAGTCTGCCTCTTCCTGATCTTTGTTGTGTTTCACGGCTCAGCCTTCTCCTTCTTCACAAGGGCGTCTCGAGATACCCGTTCGAAAGTCAAGACAACCCTTGTCAGGGATTCCACCCAGCTGTGTTCCCTACCGGCATTTTTCCCTAAGCCGGCTGTTTCACGACCTTGCGGTCTTGCGTTGGAAATCAGCCGGCTGTTTTCCGCATCCTGCGCATCAACACATGCAATGCACATCCTTGCCATGTATAGTGGTTTATCCAAAATTACCAAAAGCATTATGCTACGCTGTGTCTGCCCCGCAATGAAGACTTGCGCAGTTTTGGCACATATCTCCATCGCTGCTGATATTCGACACATTCGATTCAGCGTGTCCGTCAAGCCTCAACTGCAGCGGTGACAATGATTCAGGCAGATGAACGAGCGGAAGAGTTGGATGTTCCGAAAGGTTGACTGCGTGTATCGAACTCAGCACACATGTCAAAACAGTGTACCAAATAGTCTGCACAAACACCCCCGAGCAGTCGAGCATGAATGCAATGCTTCGCACGGCTTGTGCTATCCCGCAGAAAAGCACGTTGTTTCTAATCCACAAATGACAACAACAGCGGCGCATGATCGTCAACCTATTCGAAGACACAGCAAGGTACTTGTATAATGGTTTCATGGTGTTTCACGATTGGCAGTTTGGGGCCACTGCGCAACAAAGTGCGATAACATCAATTGACCTGAGCCAAGAGCGGCTGACATGTTTAACACTCTCGCGATGAGCTGGAATTTTCAGTCGGTAAGATGCGTTCACATGATCGGAGCTCCAAAGAAAAAAACATATTCAATACCATGCCATGGGGGGGAGAATCTCCTACCCCGATCGATTGAAAGATTTGCACACATCTCATACAAACAACCGCCAAATGCCATGAAAAGCGCTCATAGATGGCTCAGGCCATTGCTTCAAAGATGCCATAGACAAGAAACTTGGTCTGTACCAGCGCTGCTGGCCTGGATCTTGCACCTGAACCTACAGCTGTTCAGACACTTCTGAATCTCAACCTTTCTGCCATCCTTCCTGATGCAACTTTCTACGAACTCAACCACCCTGTTCTCATACTGACCCTACCTTCTCTCCAACGGAAGGATCTCATCCCATGAGGGTTGCTCCATGACCTCGCTTCGCTGGGAATCTGCAAGGAGGACATAATTACCGGCCAGAACGCATGTTGATGAGGGCTTTGGAAATAAGTCTCCCCGCGATCCGACTTGTTGAGTTGTCGTTATCTTCAACAGCGCTGACCGTGAATCTTCTTCCGGCGTCAGCGCCGTTCCCGTAGAACGGATCCATGAATTCTGACATGCTTCCGGTGGACAACGCCCATAAATAGGATTTCCAGATAACTGCTCCCATCTTCAAATCTGTGTGCGGCACATGGAACAGCTCGTCAATCCGCAATGCCGAAACAACGAAACAATCTTTCCGTCGCATCACATATGTTCTGATTCCCAAGCCGGTCTCGAACCCGTGTGATCTGGGTCTTCTGTATCGTCGAGCGTCACCCATCTGACATAGTCTTGGCGCGGAAGAAGGACAGGCAGCTTCTTCTCGCCGTCAGCCCATTGCGAATAGCGTGGCCGCTTGTGAAATACCTTCTCCCCATGATTGTGGGTGGTCTTCTCCATCGAACGCTCACAACCGAAAACTTGCGATAGCATGTCTATGATATGTCCAAAGCCAACATCCATAGATTTCGTTGTCTCCTCATCGTTCGCCGTCAAAGCATGAGGGAAAGTGGTGGTGGTTTATGGGATATTCTCGAAATGCTCCTCGTACTCAATATACTACGAATCGACCCGCTTGTGCCCCTCTTCATTGGGCTGCTCCTGGGCATTCGCCACTGCCTCGGTCGCTTTGGCTGCCTGCGTCGTGTTATCGGCCTCGATGTCCTCCTCGACCATGTTGTTGAAGAGTCCATCAACAACCTCAAGTGCCGTGGCATCATCATCGTCGGGAAAGAGGTCTTCCTTGTCGGCCGGGGCGTCCTCTTTCGACCTTCACCCGCATCAATGATTGCGCCGGTCGCACCTATGGATGCTTCGGATATTCGTCCATTGAGAACTACTGCAGGATACACCCTTGACGCGGAGCTGCTTCCACACACCCCGGAACAACACTGGTGCCAACGGCCGGGGGACTGTCCTTACAGATTTGCGAATGCACCGGAGGCAGCGGCATGGGTACTGGCTACGAGAAAGGCTTAACGGGAGGTTTCAGCACAAATGAAGCGTCAAGCGGGTGTGAAAGGGAGTCCGAAAGGGTGCGTTTTAAGGTAGCGGCCTAGGAGGATGAATCCTTTCCAACACACATGAACAAGAAACTCAAGCGAAAACACTTGAAAGGGAACGCCATCGTCGTGCTGAAGAAGGGAATGAAAGAGGAGATGAGCTTGAAGATGGTCGAGGTTCCCATGGAAGATCACCAAGCCAAGCGAACGAGTACAGAATATCAAGAAGTAGGTGTTCTGGAGATTAAGAGGCAGAGGCAGTCCGGTACTTGAACGGAGTCATGCGACTCATGCAACGGTTCGCACCGCAATGGTTCGACAGTGATCTCGGGTGTAAGAGCATCGCCGGTTTAGGGTGTTATTACGGCAAGCAAAGACGCTCAAGCAACCTTCAGAGCACCGTGTCTCTGTCTCGGGGCGAAGTTGAGAATTCAGCTCTGGTGAAGTGAGTGGCCAGTGGTATGGCAACTCAGGTGCTCCTAGGTGGACGCGGGCTGGGCGTAAAACTCCAAGTGATTCCAAGTGCATACTGACAGCGCTGCTGCGCTGGGAGAAAGCAACCGTTTGGAGCTTGGAAAGTCCAGACCCGTGCAAATACGTTACTTGTGGATCCAAGAAAAGCTAGCCAACAAACAGTTCAAACCTTTCAATATGGACACCAAGCTGAACACAGCAAACGTGCTGACCAAATCGTTTGCTGTGGAATGTGCTGAGCAGCACCTGACACGGATGGGCTTGGACGTAATCAAACGCTGTTGTGTTGGGTACGCTGTCGTAAAGATGGACGTCAGCTGAATCGGCCACGCCCAGGAGGGATGATTCCGGAGTGCATATGTCCCAACCCAGCGATACCGTGACATACCGTACTTTTGGTTGGAGCAAAAAAGGGGCGTAGCAAATATCAATTCAATTTCCTGCGCGGTGAATCGTGTCCTTCGTCAGGGTGCAACAAGGAGCTTGTCTGCGCTGAACACCGATGCGATAGGATGGCTCAACATCGCGACCTTGTTGAGACAAGATTCACAAGATTTGGTCTGCCATACAATGGGCCAGTAAACGGCTAAAATTGCGAACAACAAAAACGTGACGTTTACAAGGCCTTCGAGAAGGATGAGAAGCAGAATGGATGTCGCCTGAAGCCTACAAAGGAATTCAGGAGAACGCCATTGCTGAGGTGATGAAGCTCATCGACAGGACGCGGCTCAGGCTCAGACCTTTCGATCTGTGTGCGATCGAATTCGGGCCACAGCAATGACCATGTTTCTCTTGAGTATATCATCGTCCCTATTTCAGATAAGTGTGCGAGGTCGTTGCGCGGAGTTTGGCATATGACGAGTAGGAAAACCTGGCAAGCATTCTGTTTTGCGGGTTGCATCCTGGCGGGATCATTGGAGGATCGCAGAAGCAAGATGCTGCTCATCTGTCATCGTTCCTCCATGGCATGAGAAACTCATTCTGCCAACTTTGTTCAGAGGTTCCAGTACTTACTATGATGCTGGGATTGCAATTTGCATTCCCGCCTCGCGCTTTGAATCTTACAACCTTCGCATTGCCCTCAGCGGAGTCGTGGTAACTTGTGAGATTATCAGTCCTTTTTGATCCTGTTGTATCGATGCAGTATGGCAATATTCATGTTGGATGGTGCTTTCAATCGAGGGGAGGGCCCTCGCTGGTCGTTGATACCGCCGATCACGGGGAACAAGCGAAACAAGCAACCGGTAATTTCATGGTGAAACAGGTTGGGGATTTCCCCGGCAGGGACCCAAATGGCAGCGATCTAGTACAGAGCATGTTCAAGAGAGTCTATGGCATGGAGTGCCCCGACCGCTCTGTCCGTGTCTCATCAATCGTACGGGGCGCTCGTTGAGATTGAGATCATTGAAATAGCCCGGAGCCCTCTGGTATCTTCTGCTCCACGCCCGTAAGGCAAACTTGAGACTTAAGATTCCTAAAAGTTGCTTCGCTCAAGCAGCACGCTTTAGCCACTCTGCAGTTCAACACTTCGTACCCTCATGTGACCTACGGTAGACCCGTGCCTGTCAGTTACTGCCGAACAAGGTGGAACACCACAGCTCAAGCAAAAGCAGGCTAGTCCCGTGAAACGTAAGGCAACCTACCGGCATCTGCACCAGCAGGTTGGGCTTGATCCACACTCGGTGCGTGACGTGTCCCGCCGGCTGATTGCCATGTGCCTATCCTTGCCTGTCTGGACGGGCTGCCTCATCCACGGCTCCAACAAATGCCATACAGTTTCGCGGACTGTCCACTGGGAGTCCACTCCTTCCTCACAGTTTAATCCATGTTTTCGTGCCTTTGCAAGTCGTGGCATCCGTATCACTGCTTTTCGAAGATTTTGAAAGAAACCCGGGAATCACCGTTCATGTACGGGTTGCGCTGCCATGCCCTGCCCCAGACAATGAAGCAAACAAAACTATCGCGGCGGTGTCGGGGCCGGGAACATGGAAAGACGTGGCGCACTCAATCCCCTCGACCATCCCCGAACATCCCCACACGACGGCTAAGCCTTGACTTCTGAACGATGGCGTGTCTGCAAACGCCGGTCCTTGCTCTGAAGCTCTGCGCGGGAATAGCCGACCAACTCTTCAAAGCCTTTTGAAATGATGTCGAATCTGCCATCCTGGCCAGCAAGATCCAGCAAGACAGTACAAATCATTGAAAATCCAGACGGCAGCAGTGTCCTCAAAGCTGTTCTGGTTGGACGCACAGGCAGCAACCGCAGACCTGCTCCGAGAGATGGCTTCGTCGACAGCTTGGACCAATCGTCCTGCACAACCGTCATCTTCAATCGTTGACTTCGTTTCCTGTGCTTTGAATTTCGCAAGGACAGTCTCAAAGTCAAGTCCTCTCTGTGACTGGCTGTCGGGTAAAAAAGAAATCTCTTCATCAAAGTCGATGTCGTCGTCGTTGATGTCCGCTACTGAGATGTCCCCTGACATTGCGACACTGATGCTTCTAGTCAATGCTGAGGCAAGAGCTCGCAGACATGAACATCGACATGGACATGGTCATCTTGCTTTCGCACTGGGGCCCCATGGGGTAGGCGAACAAGCCGAGTTCGCTCGCGACAGACACATCAAGCTCATGCAAATTACAGCACCGCAGACCTCCTTCCGGGATTGACGTCTCCTCTGTCTGAAACCTGCCACCTCGTCAGAGTCTGCAGCGGGGATCGCAGCAGGGAACCGCGGATAGAACTAAAGGCATGCTCAAACTGTGGTGATCACAGTCGGACCGGAAAATGCCGAAGCCTCCACAGCCGCTTGCCTTGCCGACCTCCAGTGGATCTAAAACATGAGCCGGAGGTGGACCGAAGATCGAGGGGAACCTCAGTTGGACAAAGCGAGGCGCGGAAGAAGGAATTTACTGTCCTGCAGGAAACGCACTGAGCCGCGGGCAACGGAAAGGAGCTACGACTTCCCAGCTTCGGCAACATGGTAGTGAATAACCACTTGCAGCGATGCCCGGAGCTGAGGTGAATGGTACGAGTACCTTCTTCTATACTGTGGAGACGACGACTTCGAAACCCAACGAAGTGGCCCATCGTGTTATCCTTGATTTTCATTGCTGCCGTTTGCGTTGTCTTCATCATGCTTGAGCCAAGTTGTCCTCTTAAGTCACATCGTAAACAAGCCTGTAGGCAGGTGTGCGCCCACGCGCGCACGCACTCGCAGGCGGATAGACATCTCTCCGGACAGGCACAACATAGCAAGTGCATGCGTGGCCTCTTCGTCGAGTGAAAGCAACATGCCCTGGTCCTGTGACAGCATTGTTTTGTGCGCTGTCGTCATGTCTAGGCCTAGGCCTAGGCCGACCCCTTCATACCCTTTCCTCCTCCAAGGAAGTGTCGTACTTCTGCTCAAGCAGCTGTGCCAGTCCTTGCTGACCCGACGGTGAGAAGACTTGGAGGGTCTCTTTTTCGGCGACTCTGTGCCGACTCTACGAGCTAGCAGCTAGCGCAGCTAGCGGGTCACACTCCTACACAGTTTCGCAAAGGTCGTCGGATCCCGAATCATGTCACGTGTGTGCGAAATGCATGAATGCGTTTCGCCTTATTCCTCAGTGCCACCTGAACATAGACATCTGCTCCAAAACATCGCCTCTGTGTTGAGTACATACAGCCAGGGCAACTAGTAGTTCTCCCAGTTCGGATGAACTCAGGCGCTGTACGGACACCTGCTACTGTACTCGCTCTTACCTGCTTGCCTTCGACATTAATTCAACGGGGCTCACACTGAACGAAAAATCCTGCACCACTCTTCATGTCGCACCGGTGGACATGCACAGTGTGTGCGTGTGTGCACAACCCTATAATGGAACGCTCTGGAAACCCCATATTTATAGTGTTTTAGCAGGTATTGTAATGAAAATCACTGTTGAAATAGAAGGGTGGTCTGGCATGTGCAACTGTATGCAGCTCCAAACCAACTCGCATTCAAGCGGTTTCACTCGTTCCACATGTTAGGTATGTTCCTTGCAAGTGTTTGGCAGCATTCCTTCATAAGCATGAGAATCATGATGAGTAAGGAACATATTTACCCATGCCAGGGGTTTGTAGAATATGCCCTTACTGATTTCAGAAGGTATGGTCTCGGTAGAACACCACATATGATAGATTAGGGCCAAGTCTTTGTATGTGTGTGTGCATCGTATTTCATGTAACTACTCAAATTTAGATGGCATTGCCTATATGGAACTTGCAAGTCAACATGCATGTCAATGTATGTAACGCTAATGCAAATCAACCGTAGGTCTAGGCGGCTTAAACTTGCAGAGTTTAGAATTACTGTTCGGGACCAACTTGGCCTTTAACTTAATTATTCGAATGGTGTGGGAGTGCATGCTTATCATACAACTTACATTATCCGTACTTTACGGTTGTCTTCATAGTTTCTGCATGACCGCTGGTGGATGAATTACATCCTATCAGTATATGCAGACGGCGGTATCTTCTGACTCCTCTTTTCATGTAGGAAGGGTGTCTCTATGTCGCATGGTTTTGGCTCATAAAGCCCCTGGTATCCTATCACTGTTTAAACTCAAATACGGATCCTGTTGTCAACCATTGCATGTGTCTTTTAGAGAATTTGGGGTTTCATAGCGACTTATTCTGAGGAGTCCCGTGCTTATTGAAGCGCCTGGTATCTAGGATTGATGCGGACAGTCTCATGACATATAATCTGGTGTCTGACCTTGTCATATGGGTGAAACATTTCCTGGATATTACGTGTTTTTCATGGTTATTGGCCTATTGGTTTAGAGATTTGGAGAAGATGCTGAACAAGCTTCACCCCCCCCGTCCTATATATACACTCTCTGACATTAAAATGTTGTTCTCTCTTGAAGACCCCTTGAGCTTGAGTTCCTGCTGACCGCACTATGAAAGTGTGTAGAACATCCAAATCTGCACGCCCGTGGTTTTCGATGAGGTTCACATGGGTTCCCCTTCAGCTTGAACAGTGACCAACAAGCACTCCTTCATAAAAACATTCAGAAGCAGATTTCTCAACCGCACCATATGCCTAGAAACCCAATACATACATATTTATATGTCCTCCATGGGATTTTTGGAGTCCACAGGTTTAATTTCCTGATGCCTAGTATTTCTAAGACAAGTTTGGTATTTCGCGAACAGAAGTTTGTTTCTACATGCATTCGACTTGTATGGTTTGAGATTTAGAGACTCGATAGGAGTCTGCGTCTAGAACAAAGCCTTCAAACTTTGTTCAGTGCGCATGCGGATTTTGCCCCTAAATCCCGATAAGATGTATCTCCACAGGTATTGTACTCTCATTCTTGCGTTATATGTCTACATGGTCAGGAAGGGCTCAAATCGCCTGCATAGGTCAGGAACAATTGTTGCCCCAGTGCCTGCCGGCACGTAGAATCGATTCCTCTGCCATCCCCGAACTGGCACCGCCAAGAGCGTGCGAAGCGCTCACGAGCTCGAGCTCGAGTACGTCAGGCGAAAGCACACTTTCGTCAACCACGGCCCAAGGACCTACTTCTGCTCTGCCTGCACCACTCCGGCGGCAGTGGAAGGGGAATGGGCAAGACATGGAAGCAAAGGCAAGGGTATGGAAAAGACGACAGCCATGGACGAGACTCATGGGCTGGGGATGGATATGGGCAGCAGCCCTATATATCCAAGGAAAGCTTGTGGAAGGGAGCCTACTCTCCACGGGCACCCTGGCGCAGGAACGATCCGTCGAGGACACCAAGCTTCCCCAGTTATACACAGCTGACGCCCAAAGAAGCACCGAGCTCTTCGGCAGCAGATACTTCCTTTACGCCCGACTCGACCCTTTCGGAGATGCAACGCTCGCTCACAGCAGCGAAGAAAGCGGAGCAAAAGGTCCGCACCCTGATGGCCCTCAGGGAAAAGCAGGCTGGCCAATGGGATGCGTACAAAGAAAAACTGGAGAGAACGTTTGTGCAAGAGCACAAGAAGTACCTTGCCGAAAAGGAGAAGCTTCAGCGGGACCTGGACTCTGCAATTCAACAACAAGAGACAGCCAGGAAAGCGGTCAGATGTGTCTACAGTGGAGAGCCTGTGAGGCCTTCGCAGACCGTCCTGCAGGAAAGAGCCTCAGCCTCCGAATGGGAAGAGATGAGGAGCACTTGGGAAAAGGCACAAGAGACAGACATGGATGGAGTCCTGCAACGTGCGATGCAGGACATTCAAGCCGAGCCTTTACATCCCGGCCGTCGAGACGTCGACATGGATGGAGTCCCATCAAGGAAGCTGCGACCGGAGTTCTTGCAAAGCTTGCTGATGGACCCTGGGATCCAGGCTGCCTTCTGGGCACAGGCCTCTTTCCAAGGGATGCCACCGGGAGTTCCTGGTATGCCGGACACCATGGTTACCGAGCGGGCGATCCCTACCTTTGGAGTTCATGCATCAGAGGGAGAGTGTCCCCTGCCTACGGCCAACAGTGGGGACAAGGCCACTGTGGAGCAGGACACAAGCAGGATTCTGATCTCGCAAGCCGAAGCACGATCACCAACGAGAGTGGAGGTGGCGCCTGGCTCTCACCCAGGTCAGCGAGATCCCAGCCAACTACGAGTTCCAGCGTCAGAGGCACCTCCCAGGCAGGACGTGAAGTCTGCCACCAAGACGACGCCACAGCGCAACATGCAGCACAAGGGCTTGAGCGACAAGCTAGAGGAGAAGCGACAAAAAGAGAGACTAGGCAATGCGATGCATCCATTTGGGATTCCGAGCTTGACAACAGCCAAGCCAGAAGGGGCCCCCACAGGCTCCTTCGATCTTTCACAAGAAGAGGATGCAGAAGAACTGAACAAGGCCGATCACTCTCCAGGGCTTGGCAATCTGGAGTGACAATGACGTCGGTGCTCACTTCTGCGAAGAAGTGTCATAACGGTGACTACAGGCTTGGAGTGCGATTTTCAGCATCGATTTCCCGGGGGAAATCATGTCTGCTTCGCTACACTCTAGGTCAATGTTGCCATCTTTATGACACGGAAACTGCATTAGTGAGTCACCGTGGGTCTCACACCATCCTGTACATAGAGTCCTCTTTTCCATTTGGAGAGTTGCGATCTCTTTTGCAGGTTGTGCACCACCGGCCTTGTCTGGGTTTCCTCGCACCAGTCATCCTCGGCTACCTTGGATGCTCCTTGGGTTATGGAGTGTCTTTGGGTAAGCCCCCGCCATGCCACATGGACTTTTCTGCCTGGTCTTCTACTTCAGTGGGATGTGAAGCATTTGGAGACTTTTCTCCACAAGTTCGAGCGCTTAAGAAACACATCGGTAGCTCTGGGGTGTTCGCCGAACAAGCTTCCCGCTTCCATGAAATCCCACATGGACTTTTGTCTCTCTCCTCCGTTGAGACCATCTGCCATGGTTCCTCCCTTTCTGGGATTTTTCAAGCAATACTTTCTAGTATTGCATGTCTTCTCCTGCCGATTGCAAGGTCGTTTTGTGGCGTGACCTTCCTGGCGATTCTTCGACTCTACTTCCACGTACTCACCAGTATCTTCAGAAAGAATGGAAGAACTGGTTGCATCGATCGGCTTGGACCAGTTGGTCCTCTCATCCGTTGTCTTGGTGGAGCTGCCAGGTCGGAAAGGAATATTTGCCAGAGCAAGCAGCGACACCTCCAGTGTGCAAGAGGTGTCAAAAGCACAAGCTTAGGCAGACTACAAAGGATAGCCTGTTGGCTGTCTGCACTTCTTTTCTATACCTTGCCTGTCCAGGTTTGGGGCGCTCCCAAGCACCTTGAGCTGCTTGTTCCATCATCAGCAGGCTCAGCTCCAGCGACTCGCAATGCAGCAGCACACTGGGAGCCTTGCGACGAAAGGACCTTTGAGGAATGTGAAGGTGCAGGTAATCATGTTGCCGAAACCGCCAGGGTTGCAGACGACACAGTAGTTGGACATGCTCCTTCTGAGCTCGGGACAAGGTTCTTCTCT